TCTGGCTCTTTGGCCCCAAGCCCACATCTTCGCGTCTCACCCATTCCTCAAAACACAGTTTAGTGTCCCATCACCGTCCTCTCTGCCCGCCGATTCTAACGACGAGGAGCCGGCCGGAGAGCGGGGCCAGTTCTGCAGGCCGTGCCTCCGGGCGCCTGGGCTCTGCTGGTGTCACAGTCCGGCCTCCCCATGCGCTGGGTTCTCACCTCCAGTGGCGAACACACCCGGGGCCCCGGTCCGCTCTGGGGGACAGCTTAATACTCGGGAGGTTTGCAAGCCCGTTGTTACACTGTTTGCAGACTGAGATCAGCCGTGATGGGGACATTTATACGATGGTATCAGGAAACACTACCAATCAAGACACTTTAAAAAAATATATCAGCTTTAACTTCTCCGAATCTCATTTTCTCTACACGGAACACACGGTGAGGACACGTGGCCCTGGGTCCCACCCCGCAGGATGCCGAAGGGATCAACAAAACCCACGGCACGGCTTTGTCCAGCGTGCGGCACACAGTGTGTGCTCACCAGTCTACCTACTCCATGCTCCATCTCAATCTCGCTCTTCTCTCTCTCTCCCTTCCCCCCTCTGGATATGCAGGTATCCCAGAAATATGCATACTTTTAAAAATTATCCTATCTATCTAATAAAAGAGTAATATGCAGATTGACCATCACTCCAACATACAAGATGGCTGCCACCATGTGGTCAAAGATCCTGCCCCCATGTGGACACAAGATGGCCACCACAAGATGGCCAGCAGGGGAGGCCGTTGGGAGGGACCAGGCCTGCAAGGGAGGGCAGTTGGGGGTGATCAAGCCTGCAAGGGAGGGCAGTTAGGGGGCAAACAGGCTGGCAGGGGAGCAGTTAGGCATCAATCAGGCTGGCATGGGAGTGGTTAGGGGGTGATCAGGCTGGCAGGCAGAAGCGGTTAGGGGCAATCAGGCTGGCAGGCAGGCAAGCAGTTGGGAGCCAGCAGTCCTGAACTGTGAGAGGGATGTCTTACTGCCCTTGTGGGATCGGGCCTAAATGGGCAGTCGGACATCCCTTGAGGGGTCCCAGATTGGAGAGGGTGCAGGTGGGGCTGAGGGGCATTCTCCCCCCACCCATCACCCATGCACAAATTTCATGCACCGGGTCTCTAGTTAATTTTATCATTACTATTTCCAATTGGTTAAAGCTGAAAAGAAAAACAGTAATTGTGCTCTCAGCTGTAAAGTGTGCACATGGTGGGGGTCGCCCTGTGCTCGTCCGGAGAGGAGAGAGGTGATCTGGACACGGACGCACACAGACACAGACCCTGCCCCCGCCCGCCTGTCCTCCTGCTCCCGCTCGCTCTGCAGAGCCTTCCCTCCCTCCCTGCCTCTCCCTCCGCTTCATGATGCAAAATTAATCACAGGCGTCTCGCTTTGTTCCAGAAAAGGCTCCTGGTGAATAATAGATAGCTCGGCGTCACGCTGAGGGAGGGAGCCCTTGATATTTCTACCGGGGACGGAAATGAAGTCGCTTTTGCCTCCACGCTCATTGATCCCCGGCTCTTGTCTGATCGGCCCTCGGCAGGAAATGGGCTCTTTGCATCAACCGAGGGGGAAAGACAAAAATAAGTTTCCAGGCACAAAGCTGAACACGGGGTTCCCGCGAATTCCAGACACTTTCCAAACGGGGGAGCAAGAAGTGCCCTCTCCTTCAAGGTCAATGTCACCCTCGAACCCCTGCCCCTCCCGGGTTCCTCCGGACAGAAGGCTGCTCCCCACACCTGTGTCTAAGGATCCGCCTTGGCTCCGTTTGCTCGCCAAGCAAAACCAAACCAAACATGGAAACAACTCAGCGGAAGGGGATTCGCTTTCCATCGTTTCGGGTAAACCCCCATTGCGCAGGTGTAAATGTATCCCCCAAAAGCCAAGCTTTTCCTTACGCAGCCATTACTAGCAAACACATACGTTCATAGAATAAAAATAATAAAATAATGGGTCAGGCCGAAACCGGTTTGGCTCAGTGGATAGAGCGTCAGCCTGCGGACTAAAAGGTCCCGGGTTCAATTCCGGCCAAGGGCATGTACCTTGGTTGCGGGGGTGTTGATCAATGTTTCTAACTCTCTATCCCTCTCTCTTCCTCTCTATAAAAAAAATCAATAAAATATGTTTTTTAAAATTAATTTCAGAGAGGAGGGGAGAGGGAGAGGAAAATAGAAACATGAACGATGAGAGAGAACCACTGATCGGCTGCCTCCTGCACGCCCTCGACTGGGGACCAAGTCTGCAACCCACGCATGTGCTCTGACCGGGAATCAAACCTGTGACCTCCTCCTCCTGGTTCAGGGGCTGATGCTCAACCACTGAGCCACACCTGCCGGGCACAGAGCGAGGTTCACGTGTGCTGAAACAAGATTTCTCTGGAACAAGGCACTTGTGGTCCTAAACTTCTAAGTTTACACATCTTTGCTTTCAAACCTTGAAGCAGAAGAGGCTGGCCCATGCGCCTGCTTGCCAATGCGGGGAAGGATATGCAGAACTTTGTAAAAATCAGGAAGTGCTGTCATAAGTAACCTTGCAGGCAGCACGCAACACTTCTTTGCCGCGTGGAATGACACCGTGTGGAAGGCTGCCCCTCGAGGTCCAGCTGCAGACAGAGCGAGTGTGCCCATCGCCTTGGTAACAGGATCTGGTAAAGCACCTGATCAGATGTTGTTGATGAGTGGAATTAATTCCTTGCTGGTGGCATTATCAGGTGAGGGAAATGCATGGTTCTCCTCTGTCATCTCCTCGCCTATTACCAACAATCCCCCTTTGATTGCACACCAGTGGGAACTACTATTCTATGGCCATCAATCCTGAATATTTAGTTGACAGCTAAAGCACTTACCCTAACAATATTCTGAATGACATTAAATCTTGACGCTTCTGTGTTCTTATGAACAGGGAAAATTATGGATCTCACTAAACCACAATGCAGTGATAAACACATAGGACCAGATGCAAGTTTTTTATTCCGCTGGAAACATATATTTAGTAGCGATTAAACACAAGAGCACAAACTACTATTTCTGGAAAGTGTAAAGAATGCAAGACCATAATTTTGTAAAAAAAAAAAAAAAAAAAACCCTCCCACATTACTTTAATCCATTGCTACTTTTTTCTGTTATTTCAAAATGACCCACAAGTCAAACAAACACTTTGACATAAAATTTCAGCTACTAAGAAGACATTTTCCCTGTCCAATTTACTGTCTATTTTGCTATCTTTTTACAATAGCAGGCACATATCGTGTGCAATAGGACTATTATTTCTTATTACTACATTATCCTTTCCACTGAGTATTTCGTATTTTTACTACCTTTTGATATAAATTTATTTTCAATATTATTTGTGGGAAGCATTCTTTAGTTGAAGACACATCAGAAAAGCAAAGTGCTAAAAAAAAAAAATGCCAACTTTTAAAAAAACATTAAACTTACCAACTTTCAAAGTGAACAAAAGTTCATAGACATGACCTAACTCTGCACAGCATTGTCTAATGATGATGATGGTGGTGATTCCATCGTTCTCACTAGTCAACATTCTTTGACTGGAGAGCAGAAACCACACTGACTTAACCCAAACGCAAGGGAAACTGTTCCAAGAATACAAGCATCCTGTCTGTCAAAAAGGATCGGGACTGAAAAGGGACAGGTGTCAGGAACTGTCCTCTCCTTCTCACTCATCTGCGTTCTTCTCTCCGAAGACTGGTTTTTCTCTGCTTCTCCATCAACATACCGAACGAGGCTGCCTCTTCCTCCCAAATCACACGCCGTTCTAGCTGTTCTTTGGCCTCAGCTACTCCTGAGAGAACCAGAGCGGCCCAGCTGGACTCGGGATGCAGCCAGCGCTCCGGAGCGAGGACCAGGCTGAGGGGCTGTGTGATGCAAACAGCACCGCCAGTAAGCCCAGCCCGAGATGGGCCGTGTGGGGCTGGCACTTCTCAGAAGAAATCTAGTCAAGGAGTTGAACTGGAACCCCTAAAAGTATCAACTGCCGTGCTTAGTTCTCTTCAGGTTGATTCCATTTGCACAAACTTACTTGACGAGAAGACCCGGTGCTCACACCACCCCTGTTTAACATCTGGGAGTGACAGTTTTAAAAAGCTAAGAGGTGCCCTAGTGGGTTTGGCTCGGTGGGTAGAGTGTCCGCCTGTGAGCTGAAGGGTCCTGGTTGGATTCTGGTATCTCCGTTGCAGGCTTCAACCCTGGCCCTGGTCCGGGTTCGTGTGGGAGGAACCAGTGGCTGTGTTTCTCCAGCTCCCCACTCTCTCAAAAAAAATAATAAATAAAAAAAATAAGAAAGAAAGAAAGAAAAGGAAAAAGATCCTCCAGAGAGGATTAGCAACAACAGAAAAAACCTAAGCTGCTCCAGCCTTGGGTGCTGGACGGGTTAGTGTCACCCCCACAAGCCAAGGTTGGAGCTCGATCTTGGCAGGGACCTGGGTCACAACTACACGCTGCGGGGAGACTGAGGCAGGAGGGACATCAGAAGCTGCGGGCAGAGGGGCTTGGGTCCGAGCTGGTGGACCCTGGGGCGGGGTTTTGGTGGGGCCGATGCTGTGCCCTGGGTCCAGCGACTCCGTGGACACAGAGACCCAACCTGCTCGCCAGTTCCAGGTCCTCAGGTGCAGCCCCTCCTCTGAGCGCGCACGTGGCAGACCCCACAACCTGGAGGCCCGGGCCTCTGGACCCAGGACCTCGCCTCTGAGCCCCGCCCCGCGGCTCCCGGGGAAAACTCAAGCACCTCGGTCTGTGTCCGCAAAGCTCTGTCCCCACCTCAAAGGTTTTGTATTATTTGTTGTGCATGTGGCTTAAAACAGAGGGCGAGCCGGACTTCACGAGCCGCTCGTGACAGGAGAGGGGCAAACACTACAACTCCCATGAGGCACTGGGGTTGCGGGGCCGCCGCTCCCAGCATGCTCTGCGAGGCTCGCGCTCCCTGAGGCCCGGGCGCTTCGAGACCGGGCGAAGTCGCTTTGCGTGATGGCAGCGTCTGGAGGGCCGGAGGCCCCCGCGGAGCCCCTGGACGTCGCGTGCGGCCTGGAGAACGTGCCCGTGAGCGTGTGGCCGCCGGGGGCGAGGCCAGGACCTTTCCAGGTTAAGGGCGAGGCTTGGCCTCGGAGTCGCGCGCCGGGAACGTGCCCTCCCGTGGGGGGCGGGGCTTGGCGGGCCGGGGCACTGCGCGCGCAGCCACGTGGGCGGGGCTTGCACCCTACAGGTAGGGGGCGGGGCTAGACAGAAGCTCGAGCCCCACGTGGTCCTACGTGTGGGGATGACTCGGGTGCTACTGGAACCGTTATGTTTTCTCAAACTACCTTAAAGCAGTTAAAGCTTATTCAAAACCAAACATTGCGGCATGCCTGGTCTACGTACCGACAGGCGTTTTATTTATTCAACAAATAATAGAGTGTAATGTGCCAGGCACCGTGTTAAATCAGCGTATAAGATAAAGTGAAACACCATCCTTGCCCTTGAGTTGACAATTGCTATAAAGGGGGAGGGAGGGAGGAAGCCTTGTGATTGGTCCTCACACCTGTAGTTGGTGGGCATAAATGACAATCAGCAGACATTCATTCCCTGTTCCCCTACCCACACCCCCCCCCCCCCAGTGTTCCAGCTGGCTGGCTATACATAGAACTCTGGGTAAGAGTCAGAGCTACAGAAAGAAGACAAGATCCCTTCCTCCAGAAATCTATAGTCTTAAAGGAGATAAAACCTGTTTGAAATATGTAAATGACAAGCCTAAAAGTGCCTTCAACTCGTTTGCTCCCCAATATTCATGGAGCCCAAAAAGCAGTCTTTCTTATAAAAGGTCACAACAGCCCCAAGCCCTGCCTTCACGGGCATGTGCACACACAAGAATGAAGGCGTGAGAAACTCAAGTTAAAAATAAGCATTGGGGCGCAGTGGTGAAAAGGCAAAAAAGAGCATTCCAATGTTTCCATCGGAAACAAGCATATTGAAACCTAAGTAGGAAAAAAAAATGACTTTCTTGAACTAAGAGTTGGATCTAGCTAATTTTCTGGCTGAAACATCCTTTTTAAGATCTCCACTTGCCCTTGGAAAGAATGATCGGGCTCTCGGTTTCCTAAGAACCGCTTGGCGCAAAAACAAACTCCCGGGGCTGGAGGCCAAGTACTGAGATTCTTGTAGCTGCTGTTTCAAAACAACCAAAAAAGGAGTGAAGATTTTCACGCACTTCCTTAGGATTCCGAACCGAGGACTGAGTCTTAAGCCCCGAACGCTGTGCAGCGTCCTACTTCATTCTCCGGAGTTTCCATACAGAACGGGACTCAGAAAGGTCAGCCCTCTGATCAGAAGTAATTAAGTGAATAGACGTCCCGATTTTTAACAATTTGTCCCGCGTCCCACGGCGTTTTTAAAAAGTCGGGACAAAAGTCTGGTCACCTTAAAATTAAGAGTTTCCATCAAGCAATCAAATATTCCGAGGCACCTGCTCCGTGCCCGGTGCTCTGGACAGGAGCCTGACCCCTCTCCGTGCCGCACCCCAAACCTCAGGACCACACCTTTCCTGGAGACCCAGATGTTGAAGAGACAGGACCACGTTCAGGACAATGGGAGAGCCTTAGTCTGTGCCACTTGGGTTCCAGCTTCATGCTGGTAAGCAGGCCTCGTTCAGAGGAGGGTGACATTGCACCTGAGAACAGGCAAGGAGGGTGTTTGCCCTTCAGTGTTCTGGCTCCATCTCCATTTTGGCTTCTTCTGTGACCATGGTTTGTTTATAAGACATGTTCTCTTTCGGTTTATTGGAAAACACACACACACACACACACACACACACACCTGGAACTCTCACCTTAGCTTGTTTGGATAGACTAGAGCCTTGGTCAGCAAACTAGGGCTCGAGAGCCACATACAGCTCTTTGGCCCCTTGAGTTTGTTGCAAAGGCCAGCTGAGGAGGACCCTAATTAAGTTAACCACAATGTACCTACCTATATAGTTTAAGTTTAAAACATTTGGCTCTCAAAAGAAATTTCAATCGTTTCAATCTTTGGCTCTGTGGACTGATGCGTTTACCGACCACTGGGAGCATCAGCCCATGGACTGAAGGGTCCTGAGTTCGATTCCAGTCAAGGTCACATACCTTGATTTTTAGAGAGTGGAAGGGAGAGGGAGAGTCAGAAAACATCGATGTGAGAGAGACATCGATTGGTTGCCTCCCGCACGCACCCCAACCAGGGCCAGGGCACCTGCAACCTGCAACATGTGTGCCCTTGACAAAATCGAACCCAGGACCCTTCAGTCCTCGGGCTGAAGCTCTCTATCCATTGAGCCAAACCCGGTAGGGCCCCAATCTTATTGTTCAAATTGGAGAGTTACGGCGTCAGACGCGCTTGAACACGCTGTTTTGGTAGCTTCTTTGCTTGTCTGTGGAGGAATGAGAGGCCGAGCTGCCTGGGCCGGATGAGGGCGTGACCTCCGCTGACTGCCCTGTCTCCGTTCTGCAGTACAGCCCTGACCACGTGGCCGGGCCCGGAGCCGATGCCGACCCCGCGGAGATCACCTTCCCCGGGTGCTCCTGCCTCGCCCGGCCCTGCACGCCCGGCACCTGCTCCTGCCTCCGCCACCAGGAGAACTACGACGAGGAGGGGGCCCTCCGGGACCTGGGGCCGGCAGCCAGGTGCGCCTGGCCCGTCTTCGAGTGCAACGCCCTGTGCCCGTGCCCCGGGCGCTGCGGGAACCGCGTGGTGCAGCGGGGCCTGCAGCGCCCCCTGCAGGTGTTCCGGACGGCCCGCAAGGGCTGGGGGCTGCGCACGCTGGCGCCCATCCCCAGAGGCCGCTTCGTCTGCGAGTACGCCGGCGAGGTGCTGGGCTCCTCCGAGGCTCAGGCCAGAGCTCGGCGGCAGACGGAGCAGGACCCCAACTACCTCCTGGCCGTGCGGGAGCACGTGGCCGGCGGGCGGGTGCTGGAGACGTTCGTGGACCCCGCGCGCGTGGGCAACGTGGGCAGGTTCCTGAACCACTCCTGCGAGCCCAACCTGCTCATGGTGCCCGTCCGCGTGGACTCCATGGTGCCCCGGCTGGCGCTGTTCGCGGCCAGAGACATCGCGCCCGGCGAGGAGCTCTCCTACGACTATTCGGGCCGGTTCCTGAACCGCTCGGCCCCGGGGGACGAGGCCAGGCCGGGTGGCGGGAAACCAAGGAAGCCTTGTCACTGCGGGTCCGCGTCCTGCGCCGCCGTCCTGCCCTACGACGCGTCCCTGTACCGCAGCCCCGAGGGGCCGGCCCCGGCTCCGGGGGGGACAGGGTAGGGGATGGGACACTCGGGGCCTTGCAGTGGGAGGGCGAGGCGGCGGCCGGCGGGGGGCATGGTCCCTTCGGGGCGCCCTCCGGGAAGCCGGGGCCAGCAGCGACCCGCACCCGGGAGGCGGGCGGCGAGTTCCTCTGGGGCCCGTGGCAGGGTCTCCGGCTCCCGTTCTCCCATAGGCGACGGCCTCGTGTTTCCGGCTGGACCCACGGCTGCCAGTTAAAAACTGGGCCCTTTCCCCAGTCAGTTCCAGATGACGAGATACCAAACGCAGAAATGGCGAGTTCTTAAAGGAGACCTCCTTACCCCCTGCTCCTGCCAGGGGCTGGGAGGTCCCAGGTTCGAGTCCCGTCAGGGGCTTGTGCCTTGGTTGTGGGCACATTCCCAGTGGGAGGTGAACAGGAGGCAGCTGGCTGATGTCTCTCATCAATGTTTCTGACTCTCTATCCCTCTCCCTTCTTCTCTGTAAAAAATCAATTTAAAAATAAATATATATATATTTAAATGTAGAGATTGGAACTGACAGAAACCATAGGACAGTTTTTTCCTGTGGAATAAAGTTTTGCAACCCCTGCCTACCCTGCCCTTTAGCCTCCCCCAGGTCCCCAGCACCCTGTTATAAACAATTCAACTCCAGACAGCACTGGTACAAAACAGCAAAACACAATCTGGCCACTAGAGGGGGACATTACACACAAAACCATTTCAGAGGGAAAAAAAGTTCCCAGCAGCTGTGGCTGAAATACAGGGCTGGCTCCAAACCCTCAGCGGCCGGGACTCGCCCTCCTACCCCCTCCCCCCCTGCTCACCTCAGATGCCCCATCGGAAAGTTTCAGCGACAGATGAAATTCCTAAAGGGATGCACTGAGCACTGACAAACATTCTGGAACCCAGACCAGCGTGGACTTGGGGGCCGATGTCCAGCCGAGGGAGCAGAGCGGGGACCGTCTCCTGCAGAGCAAACCCGGGACGTGGCCTCGTGGGGAGCCCTCCCTCCCCCCACTTGTCCACCCAGCGGGCACAGGGCCCCGTCCACTCTCCGCCCGGCTGCAAAGTTCTCTCTGGGGTCGGGGCCTGGCACTCAGGCGCAGGGAGGGCCCTGACCGCTGTGCTTTCCCTCGGCCCTGCGCCCCCCGCGTGCCAGCCTTCCCGCCTCGCCCTGGGAGCCACCTCTCCTGAGGCCTGGGCCGCTGTGGGGGGAGGCGAGCCCGCTGGGCGGGGGGAGGGGCGGGCTGCCTCTGGAAGGTGGCGGCCGAGTGGCCTGGGGTAGCGCCCGCTGCAGCCAGAGCCAGGAGGGACCGGCCTCCTGAGTCGCAGGGATGTGAAGCGGGTCCGCTCTCCACGCGGAGCTTCCTACCCATGGGTTAGCTCGCCTGCCTCCATTCCGCCTCTCCTGGGGCACTGCCACTCAATTCCCCAAACCTGGGCCAGGCAGGGGAGTCAGGGGAGTGGGTACGTCATCACACATGAGTCGGCAGGTGGACCAGCGATAACTGGAACAGTGAGCCACGTGTTTCCTCCCGGGTCGTGCCTCCCAACACCAAGCATGAGCTCCGTGGACAGGAGGGTGAGCCGAAGTGGGGAACGTGTTACAAGCAGCCCCGGCTCCTCACGGGGAAGGCCTGTGGAGCAGCGGGAGGTGCTACCTGCCTGCTCAGTGTCCTCCTGCGTCGTCGCCTGACGCTCCCTCCTGCTCCTGCCCGGCCAGGACCTGACCCTGCCTCTGCGCGTCCCGCACCTGTGACTCAGCCCCCTTGGTGTCCCAGGCCTCGGCTTTGAGCCCGGAAACAGTTCCTGTCTCTGCTCGGCCGGCTCCTGTGGTTAGGCCACGCCAATGGCCACGCCTGTCTCTGCCTTTGTGTCCCCTGCACCCTGCCCTGTCTGCCTGCATCCCCAGTTCACCCTCTCACAACGGGGCAGGGCCACATGACCTACGCAGAAGTGGTCACGTGAACTAGGGGGTGGTCACTTCCCTAAGGAGTCCCGCCTGGGCCGTGGCGGGAGCACCTGGGTTGGCAGGAGCGGACAGCGGGGTGGTCGTGCCATATTCTGGATGCCAAAACTGAGGCTCAGACTGGGGCCAAAGTCTCTACCCACAGACACCTCCCCCTCAACTCGGCCCGGGTCACTGGCCGCTCCCTCAGGAGCCACCTGGTTGCCATGGTGTCAGAGGAGGAGGAGGAGCAGGAAGAGGAGAAGCAGGAGGAGGAGAGTCCTGAGAAACAATCCAAAAATACACGCCAGCTGCTGCTCCTTCCCGCTCCCTCTCCAGCTGGGCCAGCCTCTTCCTGGCCAGGCAGCCAGAGCACAGGAGGGCAGGGAGGCGGAAGGTCCAGGAGCCAAGTTGTAACCTGTGAATCCTCGCTTCTGCTCACACAGGGACCCCCCCCCCCCAATTCTGAGCGGAGCACGAGGCAGGGAGTCCCTGCAGTGTGTGGGGGAAGAGCAGAGGGCTCGCACCCAGAGGCTGTACAGCTCCTGGCCGCCGCGGCCAGCCTGGGCCCTGCAGGGACCTCTGAGCTCGCGTCTCCGTCTGTTCCCGTCTCCGCGGAGGAGACGGGAAGGCCATGGAGACGGAAACTCAGCGCCGTGTTGGTGAGGGCAGTGGAGCCAGACCCGTCCTTCACTCTGAGCCCAAACAGCAGCGCACTCACGCACTCGCACACGGTTCCACCACGTGTGCGAGGCCTACGCGCATCTCATGAGTCAGAGCAACTTACGTTCCCCGGAAGCCACCCAACCAGCCTCAGCCACAAGATCGTCCACACTCCCAGCTCCCTCCTCTGGGCAAACGGCGTGCCATCACAGGATGTAGTCCAGCTGGGAACCCTGCCCCCCACCCCTTGGGGACCTGCAGGCCACGCCGCTGTCCATGGACCAAGGGGGATAAACAGGGAGGTCCGGCTTAGGCAGGAATGACACTCGGCCTGGAGATGACGGGGACCCTGGCACGTGCCCCAGCCTGGAGGGGCCTGGGGGGGGGGGGGGCGTGTGCTAAGTGAGAGGAGTCAGGCCCAGGTCAAGACTGGGGGCTCCCTGGCTGAGGCACCTGGGAGGTCGAGGTCAGAGAGGAAGAGAATGCTGGGAGCCTGGGGCGGTGGGAAGGGGAGGGGGGGGGTCCTGGGACGGTTTCCATTTGGGAAGACGAGAAGGTTCTGGAAGTGTAAGGCGGTGATGAATGCACAGCTACTTGAACTTTTGTGTAAATAAACTGGACCCGTAGGAAGAGTGACACTGTAAATTTTGTTACTTGTATTTCACCACAATTACAACTGTCTTACTGTCTCTCTCTCGGTCTGTTCACTGTTCTGGTGAGAACAGAACGCATTTGCATGAACAAAATATAGAACACACATTCTGTGAGGCCTCATGGGAGCTCAAAGCTTTGCATTTAAAACTGGCGAAATTCAAAATTTTAATTAGTATTAATTTTATTAGTATGTATTCAGAATACCAATGTTGTACATTTTTTCTTTTTACTTAAAACCACATTAGCCTGGCCTGTGTGGCTCGGTGGTTGAGTGTCGACCTATGAACCAGGAGGTCATGGCTTCATTCCTGGGGAGGGCACAGGCCTGGGTTGCTGGCTCATCCCCAATGTGGGGTGTGCAGGAGGCAGCCCATTGATGATTCTCTCTCATCACTGACCTGTGTGTGTGTGTGTGTGTGTGTGTGTGTGTGTGTGTGTGTGTGTGTCTGTCTGTCTCCCTTACTCTCTGAAATAAATAAAAAAATATATTTTTAAAAAAACAGATTAAATAGCAAATTAAAAACACCAGGATGAGTCGGAAGGAAGGAAAGGACTGTGATGAGGCCCTGAGATCAGGTGCGCCCAGGGTGGCAGGAGGACTCGGCCCGGTCCGCGCCCATCCCGTGATGCCCCTCACACAGCCCCTGGCGGCCTCTGCGGTGATGGTCTGTGCTTTCATTCACTCACCGTTCACTCACTCGGCCATGGGCACTGCCCCTCACCAGCCTGGGACAGGACGCAAGAGGTGGAGGTCAGATCAGGGCAGGGAAGGCATGGCAGGAGAGACAGCTTGGACTGTGTGGCATCACCAGGGCTGCACGCCACCGGCGTGGGCAGTGCGAGGCCCACAGAACAAAGACAACGTCCCTTGGCCTCTGTGCCTCAGTTTCCCTCACAGGAAACGAAGTGCACTGCTCCAGCTCTGATGGTCGACCTTCCCACAACAGGAGTCCCAGAGCCCTGCTCTTCCCTCCAGGAGGGTGTGGGTGCCCCCTGCAGGCAACAGAGGAAAGGGGCGGGCCTCTGCTCCCCTTAACAAAAGCCTTTCTGCGAGTTTGACTCTTCAGATACCCCAGATACCCGTCACCTGTCTGCATGGCAATGCGGTGACATGGCCACAGGGACCCGCGCGCACAGGGCCCGGGGCCTCCCGGGTCCGTGAGATGGGGCCACACACACCAGAGGCAGAGCCCATCCTGACTCCCAGTCCATCTGCGCTCCCTCCCGGCCGGGGAGCGCCAGGCCTGGCTCTGGCTGTGAGGGGGAACTGGTGCTGGGCTGGCTCCCTGGGCACTGGCTGGCGGCTGGGAGGCCTCTACCTTCTGCAGTAACGGGGACCGGCCAGCAGAGGGCGACCGTCCCTGCCACCTCCCAAGGCAGGCAGCTGGGCTGGGGGAACCACACCGGTTCCCTCAGCAGGGCCGGTGGGGGCTGAGCCAGGGCTTTGTGGGGGGATGCCCACGTGGTGTCTGCACCCCCAAGGGGTCAACCCACCTGCCGCTTCAACAGCAACCCCGAAGGGCCCCTCCTCACAAGCACGAAGCACGCAGGTGACCCTCAGTCGTCCCCCCTCCTGCCCCTCCTCTCTCCCAAATAAGCCAGTGGGGCCGGCTGGCCTGGCTCGGTGGGTGGCTGAGCGTTGACCTATAAACCTGATCACGGTTTGATTCCTGGTCAGGACACATGCCTGGTTTGGGGGCTTGGTCCACAGTAGGGGACATGCAGGAGGCAGCCAATCAATGATTCTCTTTTGTCATTGATGTTTCTATTTCTCTCTCCCCCTTCCTTTCTGAAACCAATAAAAAATATATTTAAAAATAAAAAATAAAATCAATGGGAAGGTAATCTCGGGTGAGGATGGACAAGACTTGCAACTGGAGAAGGAAGGGTCCAGGGCGTGAGGCTGGCCAGGGCCACAGGCTAGTCACTGGCTACGATGCCGCGGGCATGTGAGTGACTACAGGCTTCCTAGGATGGTCTGCGTTCCGTCCTGCTCCGGTTCCCCAGTTCCCTAAGGTCTGCGTGTCTGCCCAGCCGCTTGTGCCTACGTCCTGTTGTCTGCGTGCAGCCTGCGGAAGGCGGGGTTTTGCCAAAGGCCTATGACATCCAAGCTGAAGCTCGCACACTGCGTCTTGTCTGCTCGTGGTCACGTGCAGGCCCCCGGGGGCGTGGGTCAGCGGTCTGCAGCCGGTGCACTCTGCAGGCAGGAAGCTGGACACGCCCTTGGGAGAAGGGCTAGCTAGGATCTTGTCTTAAATGCTTACTCACATGATGAGAGGAATCGCTAAAGGCGCGATTCTAAAGACGAAGCCAAAACGCCCCCCAAATATTTATGCTATAGAGCAGTACTGTGGAAGGAGAGGGACCCAAAATAGACATCGCAGGATATAGCCAGGCACAAACAAGCAGGTGGGACAGAACCAGTCAGAACGGCACTTGGCAAGCGGAGGCTTAAAGAACCACCTTACTCCCCACATTAGTTTTCAATTAAGCAAACGCGCTGTTTGTTTTGCTTGGAAGGAGCCAGCACTTGTGCAAGTTTGTGGGGAAACATTGTATCCGCAGACTGACAGCTCAGGCAGGGGGGAGGAGTGGCCGCAGCGGCTGTAGGACACAAAGTAGCGGACACAAAATAGCGATCCAGCCCCGGCCGGTGTGGCTCAGGGGCCGAGCACTGACCCACGGACCAGGAGATCACGTTTTGATTCCCGGTCAGGGCAACTGGCTTGCAGGCTCGACCCCCGGCGTGAGGTGTGCAGGAGAGAGATTCTCTCTCATCATGGATGTGCGTCTCTCTCCCTCTCCTTTCCTCTCTGAAACCAATAAAAGTCTATTTTAAAAGAGGAGTAGCCATCGAGTGAGTGCTGGTTGAGTCTCCCTGACTCTCTGAACCACCAGAGGAAAGAGAGCCATCTCCCTCCAGGGAGGGTAGGACCATCCGAGGTCTGCATGGGACCGGGGGGATCCGACCGGGAAGCGTCGCTGTAGGTGCCAGTCCCAGGCCGCCAGCCCAGGCAGCCCCGGTGCCTCCTCCCAGGGACAAGAAATGGGCCCCGCGAGGCCCACACCAGGGGTGGAGCAGCTGGGACAGGGGCGGTATCTAGCACACAAGCCCGTCCCTGCCCGTCATCTCTGTAAAGAGAACGCGAGGAACAGAAAGAATGTGGGTGTGAGGCGGACTCGGCACACAGTTTATTCCACTGACGCTGGTACAGGCATCAACCCTGCAGCCAGCGCCCTGCTCCCTCCACACTCGGGGCCTGACGGCAGTCCCCGCGCACACCTCCGCCCTGCGTCTGGGCTCACAGGCTTCTCCGTTTGGCACATGCCCACGCCCACACCCACAGGAGCTTTGGGGAGGGGGCTGGGCTGTGACTGCCCCCCTGAACCAAAGGCACTTAACGTTAAAGCTAAAGCTCACAGAGTCACCACGGGCTGCCTGCGCGTCCGGAGGCTGGCCTCACACCCACGGCCACGGCCACGGCCACGGCCATGGGAGTCGTCGTAAAGTGTGAGCAACGCCCTTGTCCTTGAAAATCAAAGTGCAAGTGACTGTAAGGCTCAGCGTCCCCCCCACCCCCCACCCCAAAAGCCTAAGAGAACTCTCACGTCACATGATTAGGATACGCAGTGGGAGCTCAGAAATGACCCGTCACACACGCTTTGAAATCACTCCACCTGACGTGTGGAACCAGGGAGCCTGAGGCCCAGCACCCGCTCCCTGGCCGACGGTCCCTGTGGACCGGGGTCTAACCCAGAAGCCTCGCTCCGGGCTCCCTCCCCTATAAAAACCCCGAAGGGAAACATGGCAATGGTCCCGAACCAGCACCGATGGCCCCGTGCGGTGCAGGAGAGCGATTTGGTCTCACCGGCGGTTCCTTTGGCAGCTGGCGGGCCCGCCCCGCCCCGGTGTCTGTACACGGGGGCCCTCCGGCCCAGGGAGGCCGAGCGGGGGTCGGACACGCCTTCTCCTGGGCCTGGGCTGGGCGTGGGCTCAGCTGGTGACGGGCAGGTGGTCGGCGGCGCAGCGGAATCCCAGGTTGGAGGCGGAGCTGTCGGGGGTGTTCTGGCTCCGGGCCGCACAGCGGTACCTGTAGCAGTAAGACTGCAGAGGGAGAGGTGAGTGCACACGGGCGTGTGCACCGGCCACAGACCCCCCACCGGGCTCGGGCCTGACTCACCTGATGGCACATGTAGGAGCCGCCTTTCTTTACCCGGTCCTCCCCGGAGGGCGGCCCCTTCTGGGGAGAGAGAGCTCCTGAGGCCAGGGAGCACTGCCTCTGGCCGGCAGAGGCCGTTCAGCTCCTGGGGCGGCCTACCCCCACGTGCACCCCGGCCAGGGCCTTGTGCCTGCACCCCGGCACCCCCAAACCCCCCTCCAATTCCAGGAGGCCCAGCCGCCTCTCAACCCTCAGCACGTGCTGCCTCGATGACTGGGACGCTGCAGTGACACCCCAGGTCACCCCAACATCACCCCCGGGACCACCCCCCCGATCAGCAGTCACCTGCACCCTAACTGCCTGCTCGCCCAGCGGCGGCCTCTCTGGATGAGGTCTTCACAGCCTACAGGGCAACCCTAACAAACCCTCTGCTGACCCAGAAGGAACGTGCTTTTTAATTTATTTATTTATCTATGTATTTATTTTTTAAATATACTCTTATTGGTTTCAGAGAAAGAGAGTGAGAGAGAGAAAGAGAGATAGAAACATCAATGATGAGAGAGAATCATTGGCTGCCTCCTGCACGCCCCCTCCTGGGGACCAAGCCCACAACCTGGGCAAGTGCCCTGACCTTGACCTCCTGTTTCCTAGGTCGAGGCTCCGGGCACACATGCGGCCAGGTGAGATCAGAGACGGACGGAGCGGCCCCCTGGGGAAAGCCCGGGACTAACGCGAGAGCACAGACCCCCTCAGAACCATGGGGGCCTGCGGCAGCCGGGCCTGGGGACGTACTCACTGGGTTAAGCGCCTCCTCAGCGGAATGGTGCACGGTCCACCAGTCTGCCGTCCACTCCCACGCGTTCCCCACGATATTGTACAGGCCGTAGCCATTGGGAGGAAAGGCATCGACCTGAGGATACACAAGGGAAACCGCGGTCATGTACTCACCTCGCTTAAGAGACCTGTGTGTGTCCCCTAGCTGGTGTGGCTCAGTGGATAGAGTGTCAGCCTGCGGACTGAAGGGTCCCAGGTTCGATTCTGATCAAGTGCACATGCCTGGGTTGCAGGCTCATCCCCAGTACAGGGCGTGCAGGAGGCAGCCAATCAATGATTCTCTCTCATCATTGATGTTTCCATCTCTCTCTCCTCTCCCTTCCTCTCTGAAATCAATAAAAACAAACAAAAAAAGAAATCTCTGTGAGCAGAAACGCACTAGGAGCTGCAAGTTTCCAAGCCTGAATGCTGATTTTTATCCAGCAGTCACATACAAGGTGGCCAGCGGGCAAATAAAAATAAAAGCTGTTTTCCGGCAGCGTGCGCTCCCCAGGGGATTCAGAAGCCAGAGGAGAGTTTATAAAGCGCCCAGGAGGGCCGCCCGCACAGCCTACCTAACGGGGAGACAGTACTGATCATAGTCAGACCGTATCTGCAGAAGCAGAGAGAACCACCCCATGAGACCCAATGGCAACCTGTCCTCAGAGCTGAGCCGTGCTGGCCACACAGTGTCCCCGGCACTGAGTCCCCACGCCAGCTGTCCCCGCAGCCAGCGCCACTGACCACCATCCTCAGCGCCTCGAGCCGACATGGGCGGGATGCACCACACGCCAAAAGGGCCTACGGGGAATTTTCTCCCTCATACTCCTCTTGCTTTCCCCGCGTTTCTACAGCAACTATCCCCGATCAGACAGGAAACGTGTCATAAACACTGCCTGGCAGACTCTGGCATTCGCTGTGGGCAGAGTGGCTGGACGTGGGGCGGCAGGTGGGGCAGAGAGGAAGGAGCGAGGCGGTCCCCGTCTCTGGTCCCCGGAGCTGCCGCTGCGTCCGAAGCCTGGCTACTCACGGGCGCGGTGCCTCGGAAGCCGTCCTCGCCGGTGTTGGCCACGGGAAACTCGCCCTGCCAGAGGTTGGCGTAGTGCTGGCCCCTCGGCTGCAGCTTGTTGCCCCAGGGGAAGAGCCTGCGGGAGAGAGGCAGGCGTCGGCCGTCAGCCCGGCCACGGGTGTCAGTCCGACCCCCGGTGTCAGCCGGCCTCGGGCCTCAGTGCCCCCCAGGCCTCAGCTGGCCGCGTGCCAGCAGGGAAAGGGAACACCGTTCACGTGCTCTGAGTGAGCGACGGGAATTTAAATCCTAAATGTGTAAAAATAAGCAAAGCTCCTCCTCAGGGTTTTCTAAGTTCCACGCAGCTAGTTCTCGTCCAGGCCCCACACCTGTCTGCCTGGTGGGACCAGCAGGAGGCTGGGAGGCGACCCGGGCTGGGCCCCAGGCAGTGCCTCGCGCCTCGGGGAGCCTTTCCCGCGGCGTTTCCCGGCTCTTGGCTCCTGCTGCTTCCGGAGAAGCCGGAGTAAGGAAACGCTGGCGGCCGCCCGAGCCTGGGAGCGTGTGCCACACCAGCCCGGCTGGGGGCACCATGGACGCAGGAGCCGCCCGCCCCCCGCTGCTGACCGCTGGGCATGTCACAGCAACTTGGGGCGCGAGGCAAGCCCAGGACGGGGCCGGTGTGGAGCGCCCACCCAGGCCAGGCCCGCTGGGAAGCAGCGGCGCCTGCTGGGCTCGGCGCGCCGTACCTGCCGTACCTGCCGTGCAGGCCGCCGCGACAGCTGTACTCCCACTCGGCCTCGGTGGGCAGGCGCTTCCCGGCCCACGCGCAGTAGGCTGCCGCATCGTTCCAGGAGACGTGCAGCACCGGGTGGTCCGGCCTGGGGGCGGGAGCGAGAGGGAGTGAATGCAGGCATGGAGCAGCTTCCAAAGCCCAGTCCCCTGCTCCCGACACTGACGCCGTCCTGGTCCCCAAGCAAGTTCCACCCCAACCCCCCTCCCGCCAACCCCACAGGGCTCTGACCCCCCAGCTCCCAGAGGATGCCAATTCCTCCTAGAAGTACAATCATTTCTTCATTTTGCGGGCTCGCATGAGGCCCAGCCATTCCATCCTCTGCAGCAATCCTGTGGGCAGCAGGTCTGAGGGCCTGTGCACCCCGAGCCCCTGCGGGATTGGCCGGGACTCTGTGGGTCCACACAGTCTTAGCTCCGCCCCCACCGCCCCTCCCACAAGCCTATCCTGGGCACTGGGCCCCCAGCCCCCACACCTGCTCCCTGTCTGCTGCGGGCAGCAGCTGCCTGCCCCCTCTGGAGTCCAGTCCTTCCATTTTCTAGGTGCAGAGGGCCGAGGGCAGTCTGAGAAGACAGGGACAGACATCCCCTGGGCGCTGTTTGAGTGGCCTGCGCCCTCCTAGTCCATTCCTGCACCTCTCTCACTCCCTGCAGGAGCGCGCCCCGACCCCATTCTCCCAACAAAAGCTTGCCGAGTGCCCATTAGTGCAGTCACTGCGCCTGGAACAGGTAAGAGATGTACTTTTCACCTACCGGCGTGGCTCAGGGGTTGAGCGTTGACCTAGGAACCAGGAGGTCATGGTTCAATACCTGGTCAGGGCACAGGCCAGGGTTGTGGGCTCGAACCCCAGAGGGGGCATGCAGGAGGCAGCCGGTCCATGATTCTCTCTCATCACTGGTGCTTTTCTCTCTCTCTCTCTCTCTCTCCCTCTGAAACCAATAACGGGATTTTTTTAAATAAAAGAGATGCCTTCTGGGTTTCCTTCTCCCTCAGCTCTTTCTTCTGCCGTTAAGTTCAAGACAGATGCTGTGGGAGCTCAGCGGGCAGTCACCCTGAGAGCCAGGTCCTGGTGACTTGTGCTCCCAGGTGTCCCCTGTGGAGGCTGCCACCCCGGCCTCCAAAGGCCTCCTGGCATGCAGGCCCTCAGCCATGAGGCAGTCACCAGGAACGCCGTCAGAAACAGGCAGCGTCCCGCCCGGAAGTGGGCCAGGGAGCAGTGTCCTTGGGCCCCGAGCTGCCGCCCTGGCCCAGACCTGCCCCGGGCCCAGCGCTGCCCTACTTTGCGGAGATAATTACCTCTGAGCCCCCAGACGTGCGGCTGCTCTGCTCGCGGAGTCTCAGTCAGCCGGTGGCTTCAAAGTGTGTCAGCCCCAGACGGGGAGGGGTGGGGGTGCGGGGCGGTGACAGGAGCCCTGAGCCAAGGCCTGAGCGTGCACAGCGGCCACCTGGCCGGACACCGCTCCTCCGCACACGGTGCTCCCACCGCCCTCGGGGAGGAGCCGTGGACAGGGACCTGCCGTGGGGCGGGGGCTGGCCGGTCTGAGGGGCCTTCTGCAGGGCGGTGAGGGAGGCAGGTGCAGGGTCTGGGTCCTCTCAGAACATGCCATTTCCTGCCGCTTCGTCCCCGAGAACATCCGAGTCCCCGCCTACCCCGGCCGAGGAGCACCGCACGGCTCGCAGCCGCGGGCTCTGCCGAGACCGAACCCGTCATCGGGGGAGCGGCCTCACCTGTGCAGGATGGTGGAGTCGGGCCCCTCCGGGTGCCGCCAGCTGGCGCCTTTCACGGGTAACCACCAGGGAGCCGCCGCCACCTCAGAGCAAAGAGGAGCCGGTGAGCAGCGCAGCCACAGAAACGGCTCGGCCCACGGGCTCCGTCCAAACACGCAGGCACTTCCCCAGGACACGAGAACAGACCTGGTGTGAGCGCATCTCCACGAGGAGGAGCGGCTCACACTGCCCGCCGCAGCCCCCAGACATCACGGCGACGCACCCGCTCCTGAGGCTGCCATGGCTTCCGGCCCTCCCCCCGCTGACCTCTCCGGACAAACCCAACCTTACAGAGGGAGAGACTGGCCCATGCTCCAGCCGGGCCACAGGCCTCTTGGGAAGGGGAAGGCGGTGGCCAGGTGGGAAGGCCCACCCACGCTAGATGGCGGCTGGTGCACAGGTTTTCTGAGAGCGCCATGCCCTGGGCCCCGCCTGCTCCTGGGTGGGCCCTCACCGGGGTCTGGAGGGAGCGGTGTCGGGCCCATGTGTTTTCCTCACCCAAGCCAGACTCAGAGGCCCGGACCGGAGAGGGCACCCGAGGACACGCGAACAGGGCTCAGGTCTGCGCCTCGGGGACCGGGCAGGTTACCCCGTCCCATCGGGCCCTCGCCTCCAGGGCTATCGCGCTTCCTGCTTCCTGGGCAGACGCCGCACACGGACGCCCAGGTCAGGCGACAACTGCTCTCTTCAAAGCAGACACAGGGCACGGCCTGGAACGGGCCCCTGCTTATCTCATCCCCTCAGCCGGCCCGGCCTCCGAGCAGCTCAGTGACCCTGCCTCACCCCACGCCCCGGTGCGCCCCCGCCTGGACAGGTCACGCCAGGTCAGAGGCAGAAGCTTCCAACACCCCGTGCTCTGACAGAGGATCCCCGGCCTGACAAGGCCTCCCTCGGGGCCTGAGGGCCACAGCGCCCCCCATCCCGGGCAGATCTGGCGAAGGGACAGGCACTTGGACCAACACCCACATCACTAAGGGAGATAAACTCAGGAGAGGCAGGCCCGGGAGCCATCAGAACCAGCAGGTAAAGGGGCCTAAGTCTGGCACTTGAGACAGAGGGCATTTCGGGTGGATGGCCCAGGGCAAGCCGAGCTGACCACACACAGCGAAGGTCTGGTCTGAGCTGGGGGCAGGCAGGCTGGCCCTGCCAGGTGCTTGGCCTCAGGTGATCCCAACGCATCCCTGGCGGCCTGCAAGGCTCCCTCCTCCAGGACCTCCTCCCCCGAGGCCTCCCTGAGAGCTGACCCTCTCCCTTCCCGGCCCAGTCCTCACCGCCCCCGCCCAGCGCCCGCCTGCGGTGTTCCCGCTGAGACTGTCTCAGCTGTCACCACGGCGCCATGGGTGCCGGACACTGTTATTCTTCTGAATCTCTTTAAACAGAGGCTGTTTCTAACAATTTGACATGAAATGTTCATAAATCAGGTGAAAGAAATACAGTATGCTGGGCTCCAGATCTCCATTGCTGTGCCCCTGGACGATGAGGCTGAGGTCAGGGAGGGCCTCTGTGCCCGGTTCTCAGCACAGCACGGCCCTGGCAGACCATGGGCACCTCTACAGCGGACCGTGTTCAGCCAGAGAGCAAACCCTCACCCAGAGGGACCCACGCTCACGTCCATCCCTAGAGACGGCAAAGCACAGACCCGACAGATGGCGGCCACAAGCAGGCTGAGCCCCAGGGCGCCCCAAGGCCAAGGGCTGGGAGTCCCCTGTGCGCCGGGCTCAGGGCAGCGCCGCTCGCCGCCCCGGGCCGGCCGGGCTGCCGGACAGCCGGGGCCACGGCGGCGCTCAGGGCAGCTGGGCTCAGGGCAGGGCAGCGCCGGGCTCAGGGCAGCGCCGGGCTCAGGGCAGCGCCGGGCTCAGGGCAGCGCCGGGCTCAGGGCAGCGCCGGGCTCAGGGCAGCGCCGCTCACCGCCCCGGGCCGGCCGGGCTGCCGGACAGTCGGGGCCACGGCGGCGACGCTGACACGCGGGAGCCGCCGGTTACTCACTGCCTGCTGGACGCCGGCCTTCACCTGCTCACTCAGCAGGCCTTCGAAGACGAAGGAGTCGCCGAACTTCTCGGCCTGAGGGAGAAGGGAAGGACCGGGAGGGCTGTGGTCACGCGGCCACACGTGCCGCGTCCATGGCCCAGTGCACGGAGGTCTCGCCTGCCTTCCCAGGGGAGACGGAAACGGCCTGACGCACCTGGCTTCCTGCCCGCAGGTGACTGTCACTCAGACCATCCCGGCAGGCTCTGCGGCTGATGCACAGGCCGCCGGGGAGACTGGCTTTGGGGAGTAATTGCTCCTGGGGACGAAAAGCCCACCCCAAGCACTTCAGATGGTTCACGACATAACTGGCCCCTTTTCATGTGGGATTTCACACCAACCCCTGTCCTGTTCTTCCCAGGCCCAGCTGAGAGCATTAACGCGCGTTGTGCTAACGCCTGCCACATTCTAACCCACAAAGGTGACCACTGTGTGACAAGGCCAAGCACCGATGGAACCACATTGACGATGCGTAGTTACCACCAGTGTCTGGGTCCTCCTCTACCTGCTCACTCTGTGCACGTGACCCTCTCTCTCTGCAGGCACCCCGCCCTGGCTCTCCGGGACGCCCCAACCCTGGGTGTCCTCCTCCGTTTCCGCTCTTCCTGCTCACCTCCTGGCACACAGCTCTTCCTGCACCCAACACCGCTGCCCGGCCCTGCCCAGTCCTGTGCTCACTGCCCCTCAGCCTTCGAGGAGGCCAGGCCGGCTTGGTACAAAGACTGGCTCTGGAGGTCTGGGTGAGGCCAGGACCCTGCCCCAGAACAGGTCAGCTGCCGGGTCTCCGTCCGGGAGACCGCACTCTGGGACACACCACGTTCAGAGGGACAGACTCCCAGGGTCATTGCGTTCGTGAAGGAAAGCACGTAGCGCCTCTCACATCTCTACCCCAGGCCGGTCCTGTCCTCAGAGACACTGCCTGCCTCCCGGTCCCTGTCCCTGCACTTCAGGCCTTACGATGCCTCAAACTCCTTCTCCTGGAGGACTCTTCTCACCACCTTTTCTTAACCCCACTCTTCCTCCTGGGTCTGCGGTCCCATGAGCCTGTGAACCAGCCAATGCCAGCTTTGGGCTGAGGACAGAGCTCAAGGTCAGCATCAGAGGCGGGGCCGCCCTCATGGTGCTTACACGGGGGCACAGACAAAAACCCAGCCAAACGAAGAAAGCGAGAACGCAGTGACAACCTGACTTGACCTTGTAAGGCAAAGAGCAGCGAGAAAGGCTCCTTCCGCGGGCTGAGCAGAGGGGCCTCCGAGGGGACGTGTAAGCCGAGATGACTCACGGATGAGAGGCAGCCAGCCACGCACGACGGGCCGGCGCGGAGCCAGGAAACTCCGGAAGGGGGGAAACACGGGCCCCGAGCTGAGAAAGGGGGGCGAGTCGTCCAGGAAAAGAAGCGAGAGCAGCAGGAGACCGGGATGTGGGCAGGGAAGCGCATGGAGGGACAAAGAAACAAACGGAGAAGTGGCACAACCAGGAGGCACGGTGTCCAGACCAGTCCTTCCCCCTCCCTGCATCTGGACCGCCGGGCGGAGTGAAGCTGACAGGACCCCTGCTCAGGATGACGTGTTTGAGTGGATAAAGTGAAATCAATCCGATTACAAAGAAAGCTAGTTCTATCAGAACCTCCATCAAATGTGGGCTATAGGAATACACGTGTGCTCTGTATTAATATATTAGATATGACCTCCGGGCAGGTACAACAGTCACCATTTCTAAGGTGGGGACGAAAGTGAACAATGACGTGACGTCTGTAACAGCAGCACTGAGACAGAGTGTCTGGTTTCTGTGCGGACAGAACCACAGGTCTGCTTCCACTGCGGTGGGTCGTCTGCCCCATAAGGAAGGAAATGCGAGGTCCCAGGGAGAGGGCAGAGAAAACGCAGGAGTAACGTCCCCATCCGAGGTCCTGGCTGCCCTAACCTCTGTGCCTCCCACCTTCACGGAGACCCCTGCTCTCAGCTTCCGTCCCTGGGAGTCGCCGCCTAACTTCATCGGATGATCCTGGCGAGAGCATCCTCAGGACACAGGGAGCACGGGGTCTCTGCCTCCACAAACAGGCGCGAAGAGACACAGCGCGCTGCCCATTTTAGGGAAAGCCCAAGAAACAGAACAGTGCGAAGCCAAACCGGCACATGACTTCCGCCCATGCTGAATGCCTCCCTGTCAGCATTCGCTCTCAAGTTGTTTTTAATTAAAAAAAGACAGGGACTCCACACACTGAGGGCGAGGGTGGCGTCCGTGGTGAGAGAGCAGGGAAACAGCAGCTTAGAGGACCAGCACAACCGAGACGCTCACAGGAACCTGCACGGGACAGCCTCCCTGCCCCTCCTCCGGTCAGGACACACCCGCTCAGCCCTGGCTTCCTGATCCAGAGGCCACAGCAGGAGGCCGGCCCTGCCTGCCACGGGGCCGCCTACGAGTCACCAGGCACTGGCATACAATCAGGAAAACGCAACGCTGCCTCTCGGCACCTGTCTCTTGGGAAACAGGTTTCTGAAACAACCAAACTGCAACTTCCTGAGCGGGAAACGTGGCTTTCCATATAGTTTGCTATCCCAAAGGCCCTGGGGGCAGTGGCACGGCCGGGCACGTGGAAGCACTAACACGATACAGCAGAACAGCAAAGGGCACAGGCCCTGGGCCACACCGGCCACACTGGCACCCCAGCTCCCCACCAACCAGCCTGCGATGAGGGCAAGCCACTTTTCTAAGCCTCGGCTTGCTACCTAAAAGCTAACCGACCGCACGGAGCTGCTAGAATTAAATTAGACGCTATGTGTGCAGAGTGCTTAGCACAGAGCCGGGCCCGCAGGAAAGTGGTGGGAGAGCAAGCCGTCCCTCCCCGCCCGGACCCGTTACCTCGGTCAGGTAGCCGGTGGCGTTCACGAACCTCTCAAAGTCCGCGTTGCTGACTTCATAGGCGTCCATGTAGAAGGCGTCCACGGTGACCCTCCGGGCGGGCGCCTCCCCATCCTGCTTGATCTGAGGGTCATCCGTGCCCATGGTGAACACGCCGGCGGGGATGGAGGCCATCTGCAGGGGAGGAAAGGGCCCAGCACACAATGAACACCCACCCGGGGTGGAGCTAACCCCACGGGTGGAAATCACTGTCCAGCACACCGAGGAACGGGAGGACCGGTCACAACAAACGCAAACACCTTACAACAAAGGTTTCTTTGGTTAAGCTCTACCGGTAAACGCAAGGGCCTGCCGAGGCAGCGGGTCTGGCTACAGCCCCAGCCTGCCAGTGACTGGAGAGCAGAGTCATGGAGAGCATCCCACTTCCACATACGGGGGCTTTTACCTTTTAGCGCCCTCCAGTTCCTTTTGAATTACTGTTAAAAGCAAATGTAAAAATGCCAGACGGAATGTCTTTAAAAACCCACGGAATGAATGTGGGCCTCCGGTGAGAATGCAAATGTCTTAAGTTGCTGGGATGGAACATCTAAAGAGCCTAAGGGCCATGCCTCGTCCCCATGCCCTTGTCCCAATTACTTCCTAATTGCAACTCCTTGGTTCCCATGATCAGCAACCACGGGTGCCTACTTTGTATTTCCACCCACTGTCTCTGCTAGCAGTCACCTTCAATTCCGAGCCTGCGTGTCCCAATGCACATGGCACTGTGTTCATTTATGACATGTGGGTCAAAAATGTCCAATTACTTGTCTTCAGAAATCAGGCTTGACGACTCCCGTCCCCGGACCCCAACGCCAGAGATCACCAGTCCTGCGGGGTCTCCCAAACTTCCACCCCTCCAGCCCCCCTCCCTCCTTTAACCCCAGATATTGCCTCACCATTGGCCTCCCTGTCTGGCCTCACCCTTCCTTACACTCCTTGCTCCTAAGCCCTGGACCCTCCACTCATCCATTCCCCACCCTGAAGCCCTCCCGAACTTCCTGCAATCAGGCTCTGTCCGCAATGAGGTTTATGACAGCTGTTTGTAACAAAGATAAACAACCCAAATGCTCATCAGCAGTGACCCGGCCAAGAGGGCAGCTGCTGTTGACAAGCCCTGCCCTGCCCACGCGCTGCAGGGCCAGGAACACCGGGACAGCAGGTCCTGGCCCTCGGGCTTCTTCCTGCCAGAAGAAGGCAGGAAGCGGGCGATCAAGTCAGGGACGCGGAGGCCGGATTGCTTCAGTCACCGGGGGAGGAACCTGCCCTTAAACCCCAACCCCGTGACTTAAAATTCTGGGTGTTCCTTACTACGGCACGGAGAGGGGCCGGAGACAGGGGGTGGGGAGGATGAGGGGTAGCTGGCCTCCCTCCAAGTAAATCCCCGGAAGCTGCGCGCAGACCCGGAGCAGCGGGAGGGACGGTGCGGGTGTGGCGGCCACCTTTCCCCGTCCCCGCCTGCTCCTGCCCGGCCCACGCCCGCCCGCAGAACCGAGGACCCCACAGCCGCCGGGGTCGAGCGCGCACCTTGGCAGGCGCGGGAGGCCGCGGGGCAGAACCCGGGCCCGGCGCGTTCGCCTCCCGGGAGTAGCGGTGCGCGGCGGCCGCGCTGCCGGGGACCCCGGGCCGCTGGGGGGCGCCGCAGCCGCACGAGCCCGCCCGGGCCTCCGCGCCCGTCGCCGCCCCGCCGGGCAGCGCGAGCAGCGGCAGCAGGACCAGCAGCCCGAGCGCGGCGCGGCGCCCACCGGCCCACCACAGCGCGGGCGCAGCCATGTTGTCCTGCGCGCCACGTGACTGCGTGGGTCACGTGGCCCCGCCCTCCTTAAAGGGGCCGGTCCCGCGGGCTGGCGCGCCTGGGACGTGACTTTTCCATCTGCTCGCCACCTCTCTCAGGCAGCCTCGTTTTGGCCGCGCCCCTCCTAGGCTCTGCTGATGCAAAAACATGACAAAAACCCACAAAAATCCTCCTGGCTTTCCACAGACTATGCGCCCCGTTATTATTTCTTGGCTGAAAAAATTTAAGTTAGCACTCGCCAGGTGCCAGGCAGCGTGCTAAGCACCTCCCTCTTTGGAAGTCCATTTAGTCCTCACAACCACCCTGTGATATTGGGTACGCAGAGCAAGGCAGAGACTTGCTCAAGGTCAAAAATGAGATTTAAACGCCACCGCACTGGGTCTCCTGTCTCTCTCTGGGGGCAGGTGCAGCGTTTTTTAGCATTCAATGCTATATCCTCCACGCCTAGAACCAGGTGAGGTGCGTAGAAGTGCTCCGTAAACATTTGTTGAATGACTGAATGGAAGATCGAAAGAATAAAAACCTTCAGACTGTGAAAAGACATCATCTGAACAGATAACAGTGCTCAGGACATTTGTAAGACCAACCCTGGAGGTCAGGGCCTTGGTCCCAGCAGAGGCTCGCTGCCTGGCAGGATGAAGCTCAGGCAGACATTTAGGCTGTGACGCTCCATCTTCCTGCCAGGAGGGACTGATCCACGCCTGGCACAGCATCTCCACCCAAGGGTTTGCAAAGATCCGTTTGACTTCGGTCAACAGGTGTGTATCGAGTAGAATGTTGCAGAGCACAGTTTCAGGCACCGAGGGAGCAGCCGTGAACAAAACAGATGGAAAGTCTAGTCCTTGTGGAAAGGACATTAAAAATCTTCTTTACGCCGAAACCGGTTTGGCTCAATGGATAGAGCGTCGGCTTGGGGACTGAAGGGTCCTGGGTTCGATTCCGGTCAAGGTCATGTACCTTGGTTGCGGGCATATCCCCAGTTGGGGGTGTGCAAGAGGCAGCTGATCGATGACTCTCTCTCATCGATGTTTCTAACTCTCTATCTCTCTCCCATCCTCTCTGTACAAAATCAATAAAATATATTTTTTAAAAAATCTTCTTTACAATGTGAGCTACGTCAAACATTGCTTGGTATCTAGGAATAGCTCAAAATATTGGTTATGACTATCACAATTACCAGCCTATTTAATATATAAAATGAGCGTTCCGATGTATTTTTTTAATAATTGGACACTTTCCCTTGTGTATTTAGACGGCAAAGTGAGCATCCCGAGGGGCAGCTCCTCTCCTGCTGGGAGTCGCCTGAGGGGAAGCCTGGCTCCTTAGTTTTGCTCGTCTGTGCCGCAGCCAATGAGGGGAACCTTTGGGGGAACTTTCCATTTCATTTTCGTTTGCTTCTCTTCTCCTTTTCTTGCTCGGATGGTTTGGTCTCTCCCTCCCTGAAAACGCCAGGAAAAAAGGCTGGCGTATCCTTGAAGAAAATGCCGAGAAGAAACACGTGTGAAGGACACAGCGCAGGAGCTGCAGAACACGGAACAGTCCTATTTCAGAGGGGCCGGGGCGCAGCCAGGAGCAGAACCGAACCCGAGAAGCCGCAGCAAGCGCTCGGGGCCGCCTGGAGCTCCAGGTTCACCGCCACCTCCCAGGGCACGCGTGGTCCTTCCCTGCCCGCTGCCCCGCCCGCCCCGCTGTCTGCTCGGTGACTTTTCTGTAGTTCTGCCTCGCAGCTTCTGCTTGGCCACAGTTCCCGGTCCCAGGTCGCCCAGGAGCCTCTGGGGCTCGCACACTCCGGCGCAGCCTCGGGCCCCGCGCAGGTGCAGCGGACACCCCGACCCCGGTTTCCCTCGCCGGGGTCACTGCGGGGAAGCCCCGCCCACCGGCTCTCCTTCCTCACCCCCGCCCCCCACGGGCAGCTTATGGCGTAGCTGCACTGGAGTCCTCTCTGTTCCAATCAGCTGTAATTAGCAGTTCAGGCAAAACAATAATAATAATAACAACAACAACAACAACAACAATAACAATAAATAAAAAATAAAAACTGGCTGCGCATGCACCATGATTGGTGAGCCTGCCTGCCATTCAGCGGGCCCGGGGCGGGGCCCGAGAACTTGCATTTCTAACGAGTTTAACAAGTTCCCAGACGGCAGCCGGCCTTTCCTCTGGACCCTGGGCAGGGACTGCTTCCGCCAAACCTCCACTGCCGTCCCCTCCGCACCTGTGCGGGGCGGGGCTTGGTTTCCTTAGCAACGCGGGGGGCGGGCCCAGCGCCGTGATGGACGTCTCCAGGACAACCTGTACTCCTCCTCCAAACCTTCCACCCAGTTCTCTTCCTGATGTCCCTGAACCGAGGCGATCGGGGAGAAAGACGAGAAGCCAGAATGGCACCAACAGAGACGCAGAGCCAGGAAAAGGCTTCCCGCGCCCCTGGAGAGAGAGGGCGGAATAATCACGAGAAATCACAGGGCTGGTTCCGCCTAGATCAGGGGTCTGCAACCTTTAAGACATAAAGAGCCACTTGGATCCGTTTCCGAAGGAAAAAAAAAACCTGGGAGCCGCAAAACCATTGCGACATTTAAAACAAATATAACACTGCATACATTGTTTCTTACCTTAATGCTATATACCGGATCGTGCAGTTAGCTGTCAATCTGAAGGAAAAAAGGACTTTTTCACTTAATAATGTAAAATATATTTTTGCAAATTAATAGCTAATTAAAATATTTAATTTACCTGGTTAATGGGATTTTTGCTCCTGAACCTCAGTGCACAGTGTCAGCACATCAGGGCTGGAAGACGTTACCTTCATTTTCACACAGGCTTGCAAGTTGTTGGAGCCGCGGTAAAGCTTCAAAAGAGCCGCATGCGGCTCTGGAGCCGTAGGTTACCGACACCTGGTCTAGATCCTGGCTTTCACAGCGCTTGAGGCCACAGGAAAAGAGGAGGAGAGGACTCCCACTTTCTCAGGAAGGAAAGCTCGGTAGTGAAGGGAAGCCCAGCAGAATGTGTCTGTCACACTGAGTAGATATCACATCCCAGGCGCCAGGCAATGGCCGGAGGCTGGGCGCCCAGGGAGGAAGGGACCCTTCTCTGGGAAGGTGAATTCTATCGCTTGTGCAGCCTGGCCTGCTGTGACAGAGTCTGGGGTTCGAGGGAAAGGCTGGGCTTGGGGCCCCAGGGATATGGGGGAGACTGTAGGGCTAGTCACCGAGCTCCTCGGAGCCGAGTTTCCCATCTCGCCTACTTCACTCCAGGGTTTGACGGAGGCCAGCGAGGTAACTGTAGGAAGGGGAGAATCGCTGGTTGGCATTACTGTGTATCACGCTGACTCTGAGACCACGTCCATCCCGTTGTACTGTTCCTGAAACCCGGAGGGTGGCTGTCCCGGGAGTTCAGAGGAAGGCGCACTGCCCAGCGCCTGGGGGTGTCAGGGTCCCTGGAACCAGGGGACTCCCCAGCCCCCCAGAGAGGCGGGAGGCCACGGGTCCCTGCCTGGCAGTCCCAGGGTCCAGAGTCCTGTCCCAGCAGGACTTCCCGTTCCCCAACCACAGCCGCGATGCCTTCAATCCCTTCGGGCCTACAGGGCTTCCCGAATTCCAGCACCATCGGAATCCCCCCGAGGGCCCTGTTCCCTGAATGTCTGGCTCAGTAAATCTGGGGGGCAGCTCAAGAATTGACCTCTCGCCCTGACCGATTTGACTCAGTGGATAGAGTGTCGGCCTGCGGACTCAAGGATCCCAGGTTTGATTCTGATCAAGGGCATGTACCTTGGTTGCGGGCATATCTCCAGTAGGGGGTGTGCAGGAGGCAGCTGATCAATGTTTCTCTCTAACCCTCTCCTTTCCTCTCTGTAAAAATCAATAAAGTATATTTTTTTAAAGAAAGAAAGAAAGAAAGAAAGAAAGAAAGAAAGAAAGAAAGAAAGAAAGAAAGAAAGAATTGGCCTCTAACATTTCCCAAATGATGCCGACAGGGCTGGCCTGCGGCCCCAGTCGGAGAAACATAGCATCATGAGCGAAGGCGGGGACTCGGCCGGTCATGGCTGCTCAAAACTGGAATGATCGCAGGCAACTTACTTAAACGTTGGAATTCTTTGCTTTCTTCATCGATCACCCTAAAAGCCTCTCTTAGGGCTGTGCTGAGGCGGCATAGGATGATCTGGGTAAGGAACACAGCACAGGGTAAAGCCTCCACACATTAAATTTCTAGTTTAATGTGTTGTGTTTACCATGACTGCTGGGGACTTAGGGCAGGTCACTAAGGGTGACATGTAAGACCCCGAAGGCGATCGGTGTGGCCTCAGAATCCGCCTCCCACACCTGCCAAAACTCCTCCACGTCTCCCACCCGCGGAAAGTGTTCTACTTTGCAGCTCCGCGGAGGTCTCCCGGAGGCAGGAGACTGAGGAACGCGCTTCCCCCACAGAACAGCGTGGAAAGGAAGCAGAAAGTTTTAAAGTCTTTTGAGAAATGTGGCTAACAATAGAAAGAGGAAACTCATTTGGGTGTGAGGCAATGGCTCCAGGACTGAATAAAAACGAACTGGGCCAGGAGCAGATTAATTGGAAAATAATTGCAGAAAAGGAAAAGGAACTGTGCCGCTCGGCCCTCTGGGAAATCTGACAAAAGTCCTGGTTCGGAGGGTTTGTTCCCTCCCGGGTCTGGGATAATTGGTGCCACAATCATGTGAGAGAATGTAAGTCACCCCGGAGCCTCCATTGTCCTGGACGGGGAGTTCTGTCTCGGGTCACGGCAATCTCAGAGCGGGCCCGGCCACGGGAAACCAGGACGTCCTATGATTCCCCAGGAGAAGGCGACTCTGGTGAACTTGGCCGTGTGGGTGTGATTGGGGCAGAAACAGAATGTTGGGGACCAGCTCAATTTGCAAGAAATATCAATCCTGCTCTGTGAACCGGGATTGGTTTATTCTGATTGAAGGCACGTTCTCACCTGGCTGGGGGCTGCAGGTGGGACCTGGGAGCT